ATTTTCAGTCCCACAAAGAATTGACATAGACACTCATATATATGAAATTAATAAGATAAATGTTTCATCTTGGACATTTTTGCTTTCAATAAGTAAATTATAAAGAAATTTTAATGAAAATATGTATAAGATCTTTAAAATTGTTTATAAAAAGAATATATTAAGTATGTATATTAATAAAATATATGTATATAATTCATCGGTTCGGTTCGGTTATTTCTTCGATTTTTTTCGAATAAAACCATAACCAAACCAAATACTATCGGTTTTCAAAAATCTAAAAACAAACCAAACCCAAGTAAAATCGATTTTATTTTATCGGTTTGGTTTGGTTTTTCGGTTTGGATCGGTTTTTATCCAAATCGTGAACACCCCTAACTGCAACTATTAAGACGAATCGTCTTGTTTTTGGTAAAATAACTATTTAAGACGTCATTATTATAGATAACTTGAATTTATCATAAAAACCATATACATGAATCTAACCTTTTTTTAAAAAAATGACTCACTATTTATAAAATATACTTAATTAAATATACTAATAAGTTATTTGCATCTTGGGGACTCTGAAATCTTGCTTGACTGGTCATTTAGTTGGTCAAACAAGAAAAAGACTCCCATTCTCATTCAACAAAACTTTAATATACATGAACATTACCTCTTAATTACTTTTCATAATCTTAATAAAAAATGGAAAATATTAGTATTCAGAAATGCACTGATACTCTTTTTTTTAGAATTTGATCCAACAACTTGACAAACCATCATTAGCTTGAAAGAGATGCTAAAGGAACTGTCTCATATAAGACAGTTTCTTTTTGTATGGTTGAACCTTAATTATTTTTTTAAAAAAAACAAAGAGTCATGAGAATGGATGTAAAAAATCAATAGTTGTAACAACAATTTTTTGTAAAATAAAAATGAATTTATATAAAGTAAAAGGAATATGGTTAAAAGCTTACTAATACATATATACCCATGACATATTGTGTGTTTTCATCAAGAAAGGAAGGAGTGAGGCTGTCCGAGCATGACCTAACCTTAGTCACCCATTTTTTTTCTTTATAAGTGTGGCCAAGTTTAGATCATGCTGGCAGCTTCACTTGTTCCACTCTAGACCTTTAATACAAATAACAAACTTAAATCACTTGTGATTCATACAACTAAAAGTGAAGGACAAATGATTTGAAGAGAGTGGGGATTCATGAGTTTGTTGTTTCAAATAATTGGGGATGTAGTGTTTTGATTTATATAAAGAAGTGATAAGGAATGAAGGGTATATTAAAGCAAAATTATGTGTAGGCAAAAAATAATTAAAATGAAATAAAATAGATAGGTAGGGTGTACAAATTGAAGATGCAATTAGCCGAAAGTGGGAATATTAGGGCGGCATATATCCGCAAGGTGGCGATCCTTGTCTTTTTTCTTGGTTATCTAAAACTTAAAACCCTACTATTCCTTACTCCTTTTGCGTCATTTGGTCCGTGGACTAAATTATTTCGAAAAGATCAATCATAAATAAAATCTGAAGAAATAAGAATATTTTATTGATAGATAGCTAGTGTTTGGCCATAGATTTCTAAATATTCTTGGCAAATATTGTTCTTTCGTTGATTCTTCTTTCATAAGATTTATTCATGATTTAAGAATTGTTTCTGACATATTTCTCAATGATTTGAATTTGAATATTTCATGAATTTGCAGAATATTTGAGATCTTGTTCTTTATAAATACCCAAAAGTTTATAAGATATTCCATCAACATATTCTGTAGATTATATTTCAACCTCCGTCTTATCTCACGTACCAAACTATCCTAGCTGCGAACGATTATATGAGTTGTCTCAAAATAAAATTTGGGATTAAACTATGTATGTGTTTTGAGTTTTTATATTATAAGTATGAAATTATTTAGTCCATACAAAATATGAGATAAATAACCTTGGTTATAATTTGAGAATTATAATTCTTAAATGATTTGATTTTGACCAAACGACCTTGGGATCTAACTTTTTGTGGCCAACGTAACTAAACGGTCCCCAACTAACCAACTATAAGTTATAACATAAAAATTAAATAATGACAGAAATTATATATTTAATGGATATATTTTTAAATAAAGGATGCTTGATTCATAAGTTGAAAAATAAGATATACAAGGTATAATATAAAACATTTTATGGTTCAAAATTCAATAAATTTAACTAAATTTTTATTTTTAATTCTAAAATGAAAAAATGTATTATATATTTACAATATTATTTTATTCCGAGATCAATAATCCCAAGAATTATAATATAAACAATTTCAAAATCATTAATCTGTTAAATATATTATAAAATTTTAGTTTTAAAATTATTATTCATTATCTTACCAACCAAATGAGCATGCGTGATTGATTAAGGCAGGACAAAAGCTGAATTTAATTGCCCAAGGAAATTAAAGTTGATAACTACTCAATTTAAATAACACATTGACTTTTCATTTCACTGCTCAGTGCCTCAGAAAAAATTAAAAAGAAAGGTTCCACCTATCTATCTATCTATCTATATTAGCTCTCTGCACCTAACCATCTGTCACTATTTTATCTTAATGTTCATTTGACCCACAAAAAACAAATATTTAAAAAAAAAACAGCTATAAAGTTTGTTTTTTTTCTTGATTTTATTAGTACTATCAAGATTGATAGAACGTGATTTAAGATCTATGTCCTGGTAAAAGAATATTAATTAAAGTAAAATTACCAAAATGTCCTCTCAGTTTGATAGCGGGTTAAAGTTACGTAGTATTGTAGTAATTAATTATCAATGAGTTTATATATGTACAAGTATTGAAAATACTCTTGAACTTAATGCAAATTATTAATTTCATCTCTAAATAATTGATAATCTTAAAAATATTATTTTACTTGATTAACTAAACTTAGATACACGCCTGATTTGCTACATTTCATAACAAGTAGTCTCTAACTCTTGTAGGAGCTTCTGACTCTTAATAAAAAAATCGAGATAAGTGTTGAAAACACTACTAAACTTAGGGCGAGAACTTAGATGTGTATTTCATTCATGTTGCAACATTTGAAGTGTATTTAAGTTTGGTTAATCAAGTAAATGGTTGTTTTTTAAGGGTATCAATAGTTCGGGAATGAAACTAATAATTCACACCGAGTTTATGAGTGTTTTAATACTTCTCTCATTATTTTATGCAAGGATTAATTATTTCACCTTCTATTTTGCATAAAATAGTACATAGATTTTCTCATAAGTTATACATGTATTAATTATGTGAATTTCTAAATTGATAACCAAATGTTATATTAATTTTACACATAAATAACTTATTTCTTATCTACCTACCAAACGTCATATAAGTTAAATAATTAATACATAAATAATTTATTTTTCATTCAGCTACCTAACAACCTATACTTATATATGCTAGATTGCTAGGATAGAAAGGTGTATCCAAAAGTTTTATAACATGTTGTTTGGTATATTCTTCGAAGTCGTGCTATGAAAATTGAAATTAGAGGGAGGCATAGGTAATATTCAGACCAAACTTCATTAATCTTAGAAAAAGTTATCTGAGTATGTAAAAATATATATATTTATACCTCATTTAAAAGATAATTGTAGTTAATTTTCTATATAAATACTGATTGGTTACCATATACATATAATTATAGAAAGCAATCTTCTTCCATAATAAGTCAAATTATACCGATATAGAAAAAAATACATTGTCAGTATATATAATCAAAATTCAAAGTAATTTTATAAAAACAGTTATGCATACACAAATCGAACAAAACAACATATTCTAAGCAAATGTCAAAACTCATACAACCTTAATACAATACGAATGAGTTCATGACGTAAGTGCATGGAAACTCTTGGAAACAATGGTGATTGAGTTAGTGAGTATTATCTAATCCTGAATTTCATAATTTCTCAAAGTTAAATTTCAAAAAAATGCTAATGGCTTTGACCTTTTTAAAAAAATAATTGTTATAGGAATAGCGGATTCAGAAGAAATTATCAGTCAATAACGTATTGATTATTTAGCTAGATGTTTTTGAAGAAGAATACAAAATAACATCGCGTGTAGTAAAATCGTATCGTTATTAAGTTGTATTCAATTTCATGCATTTATTGTTATGACAGACTATTACACCAAAATGGGCATTGTCTATTATGTTAGGACCCAAAAATTAATTAATTAGGTGTTATGTGAAATCTAGCAAAACAAACCTCGAAAGATCATGAGTAAGAAGACAAATGAGAAATATACCAAAAAATATAAAGATTTAACATGGTTCGGTCAATCGACCTACGTCCGCAAAGGAGATGAGCAATCCACTATATAAACACAAGTACAACATATAGAGAGAAATAACCTCAACCAATTCACTCGAAATACATTGGAGGTTCACACAAGTAATAATGTATCAAGCTTGTGTCCCACAAATTCTCCCCCACAACCAAAATCTCTCAAAATCCTAGGACTACATTGTGAATGCTGATTAAGTTAGAAGGAATAAACTTATATTTATAGAGTCCTAAAACCTTTCCTACAAAAAGAAAACTAGTCAAAATATTAATTTTTTTTCCTAAAAGGAAAACCTGTTTGTGGTAAGAAAGTCAAGACAAATAAAACCTAACATATTAGCCTATGATTTTTGTAGTGCAAAAGTAAATCTTGATCCACCTGTTGCATTTGAAATTTCCTATTTTACTGTGATTATGTATTCATATTCTTTCTCATGGATCACGAAGTTAATACTCTAAGAATCATGTTTTTGAAAAAAAAAAGTTTATATGCTTGAGAGAAATAATTTCAGATGATTTTGTTATTGATGATATCGAGTATTAATATCAGTACTTTACATGCGTTTGAGGAAAATAGTTTTTGGTGGGTATATAGATAGCGCGATCCCCCCATAAGTCTCACACCTTATAGCAAAGTTTTGTGGAGAGGGTGTCTATATTGGTAGGATCATTGATCATTGCATCACATTTATATTATTACTTGCTTTGAATTTTTTCTCACTCTTGATCTTGATTGAACTTTTGGATATTTTTTGAGTGCATGATTGTTAACATTCTTTATGTGATATAGTTATTATTCTTGTTCAATCGACATATTATGCATATTGAGTACGTGTGGTTAATTTTATACTAGCACTATAGGATTTCCAACTATATTTTGTGTGTTCTTAAGACTACTAAATCCTATTATTTTACTTATTTTGTGAGTTAATAATCTTTTGTCGTATGAAGAATTGAATTACCTACTGGTGAGTTAAGATACATGTCATTATCTTGGGGTTTAGGTCTTGAATTTTTAGTTAAGGTGTGATTGGTACACAAAGGGAAAATGAAATATTTAAAATGCTTCATTTTACAAAGAAACGTTGTCCCTTAGTTGATAAGAAGAGAAAGATTATTGTGCTTATAGCCTATAGGTAGAAATCATTCTTCTAGCTCTTAAAGAGCTAAGAAGGGAGTAAATCGTTGTTTTTCTTTCGACTTTAACTTTGATTTTAGATTCGAATTAAGTCAAACTATTCCGATACGTTTTAATCTTTACTTATGAATCACATAATTTTTTCATGTAAAATTTTAATCATATGACCATTCCCCTTTCATATAGGGGATTGTTGGATTTTAATTAAAGTGTGAATGACACCTAGAGGGGAAAAAAATAGAGGAAAATGAAATATTTGAAATGCTTCCTTTTACTAATAAGGAACTTTGTCTCTTATTGGATAGAAAGATAAAGATTATTGTGTTTATATATAGAGCATTTTTTTCTAGCCCTTAAATAGTTGAGAAGACGACAAGTCTCACATTGTCATCACTCGACTTTGGATTCAAATTCGATCAAAATATTTGAGTGATTGATATATCTTTTGGACCAAATTTATTTTTCATTTTCATTATTTATTTCCTTTTTTTGATATTTTTGAGTTAGCAGAAGTTCTGAAATTTGCAAAATAGTTTTTCCATTCTAACTTGAAGGAATTAATCCAAGTATCTTAGCAATAATGAGACAAATTAAATTATATAACTTTGTATAAGTTAGGCTAGATTCTACATGGAGACTATTTTCTTTATTTTTGTAACTAAAGGAGTAGTTATTAATGATGCAAAAGATTAGTTCTACACAAATCAATTATTTCATTTTCTATCATACATAAAATAATACAAAGATTTTCTCATACCAAGTGATATGAACTTTATACATAACAATTAAAATACTACCAAGCGTGTTAGTTATGTTTTGATTTTAATATATGAATGCAATCAAACAATCCCTATGTAGCAATAAGGAAGCAGGAGATACTAGAATAGAATTGAAGTTGACAACTCAAACAATAATTAAGCTTTTTGCATAATATACTGTACTTGTATTGAACATATGATGATACTTTTTTTTTGGTTTCCCACTCAGTGTCCGAAGCCCACATTGAAGCTCCGACTAAATTTGAATCGCGCTCTACAGGGCTCATTCGGGGGTGACGCTTCTAACATGATTTTCTCCATACCCAAAACTCAAATCCAAAACCTCTAATTAAGGATGAAACACTCTTATCAGTGCACCACAACCCATATTGGTAACATATGATGATACTTGTTAATCACACAGGACTAACTAGCCAGCTTGTAGTCAAAACTCAAAAGGCAAATGAAATGATGAAAGGAGTAAAAACACCTACAAGTCTACAAGCTTATATATAGAGTGGTCCTTTATTATTCTTTTTTCCAGAAGAGGCAGAGAGAGAGAGTGGTGCATTGGTTTGCTAATTTCACATTTTTTTAGGCAAAGACCTAAATGATACCTCAGGTCGCTCTCTCTCTCTCTCTCTCTCTTTGGAGCTTTCACTACTAAAATGGAGTACTTTTTTTTTAATTGAAAAACACATTTTTTATAAATATTTGAGGGGTCATTTGGTTGTTTGGGAATTGGGATAAGGGTCCAAGATAAATTGTGGAAATATTTTGTTTGATGTTTGGTATAATTTTATATTTAAGAAGATAAAGTAATCTTGAGATAATTTATACCATTATGATTATGGGTTTTTTTACGCTATATTTTTAGAGTGTTGGTTCAGTGACGTAATGCATAAGACAAAGGTAGAAGTGAAGATCAATACACAAATCATATTCAAGAAATAAAGTTTCAAGTATCTTGGGTTCGTAACAATAAAACAAAATAAAGAGATTGATGATAATGTCGCATCGTATTGGAGTGGAGTGGATGAAATGGAGGTTCGCATCCAGGGTATTGTGAAGTGGTGGTTAGACCACATTGTTGTGTAAAACACAATGTTTGTCAATCAAGAATGTCCACATTCAGAAGATGAGCATACTCAGATGAATGTACGGGCACACTAGAAGATATATGACTAGAAACAGAGTTATAAGGGAAAAGGTGGGAGAGACCTCCGTCCGCGACAAACAAAATAAGAGAAGCGTGATTGTTGATGAATATACCATAAATTACAGTTGAAAACTAAAATGGATAAAAGTAAATAAATAAACATTCAATCTGATGCGTGGATATCTTCTTATTTTTTAAAAAGATTCAAGTTCATTGCAATATAATCTTGTTCGATCAACAATATAACTCTTGACTTGTCTCCTCCACGATATAACAATCTAACAATATTATACAACTCAAACAACTCCAGATTAATTGAAGAGTCCAAAAACACTTTCCTTCAATATAAAATTACTTTATTTTGTATAGTGAATAAATTTGAGACTTTCAAAATGTTTTTCCTTATCTCAACTATCTTTTTCACTACAGTACTAACATAAAAATATAAACACAATATAATATTTCTCATCCAATTTTATATTTTTTTCATCTCTTACTGCACAAGGATAAAAACATCATTTATATTGATGTAGGACTTCTTCCACAAATAAATATCAAGAATATGAGTAGTAGTAGAAGATAATGAGCAAAACATTTAATTTTAGTTACGTGAATTACAAAAAATAATAACACCACTTTCTCCACTTTATGTTTCCTAATTATCATACACTTTAATATTTTTATTTTAATATTAAAATACCTTTATACACTGAGATTGTTCAGAAATGTAAAAGAAATATGTGCATCATTAAGAAATTGTGAGAGGTTTCTATAGAAAGAGTGAGGAGAGACAGAGGTAGATCAAAGTAGAACTGGAAGAGGCGATTAGAGGGTGTGACTCAACTCCATCTTATTGAGGACATGACCAAAGATAAAAAGGTACGGTGATTGAAAGTTATAGTAGACGGTTATTAGGAAGTCGAATGTTACCACATTTCCTATGATAGAGGGAAGGGGCTAGCCTCATCCCCTCCCTCTCTTTTGGTAGTAGTAGGTAGTACTCGCTTACTTTCTTATTTTTCATTGCGTGGTACTATTTATTAATTTATTTGTTTTATATCTTGCAATTTTATTATCGTATTTTCTCTACTTCAACAAGTTCTCTTTTAAATCAAGGGTCTATAAAAAAATGACCTCTACCGTCAAAAATAAGAATAAAATTTGCATATATCTTATCCTCTCCATACTCACCTATAAAATCACAGTGAGCAAATGAGCAAGTTATTGTATTTTTACATCGCACTATATGTAGTATAGTAATTTTAAGATTACTAATCCAGAGATAAAACAAAACTATGAACTTCTTACTATGAAAACATTGTCCCTGTGTTATTCAATACTTCATCCTGTCTCCTTTAATTTAGTATGATTGGACTAAAGCATAATTTAAAATATTATTAATAATTCATATATTAGGATTCATAACTTTCTGTTTACAAATTTCACTATGACATCCCTCTCAGGTGGCTGCATATACAAAATCTCTTATTTTTCATCTTACATATGCAGGAACACATGCAAATGCATCATAAAAGGAAAATGCAAGAAGAGAGGCAGTGCAGATATGAGACAAAAACAATTTCCCAACTAGAAAATATATCACAGGCCCTTAGTCGGGATCCAATGCAAGCACCGGACACAAAACAAAACAAAAAAAGTCTTCTCCAAGAAGTTCTTTATTTCTCTCAAATAGTGTATGATACCATTGCGAGCACAGAGCACTAGACAGCTTCACCAACTCCCTGTTGGTGCATTATAATATCAGCAGTGAACTGGTCACTAAAACCACAAGGTAGACGAAGGGCTGCGCCACCCCTCTTCCTTAGGCCAAGGAAGGAACCAAATCCAGCTACATGATTGGTTGCTGACATTGCACTTTAACAAAAGCGCTGAACCTGCAAACTGAAATCTCATTAAGCAATTTGGTAGTTATTCAATCTCAATGTCAGCAGTTTCTGTTCTTACCATTTGACTTATACAAGTACAAAACAGGTTATGATATCAAATTCTGATGCAGAAATGGAAGATTAGATATAATCCACTGAATATGAAAATCAATACGGTAACAAGAGAATGTATCTCAAACCAGATAACATATCAATCGAATCATACTGAATTAATAAAACATGACGATGCAAATGGAAAACATTGGCTTGCTAACCATCATACAGTAGTGAGTGGTTCATGAAATTTCTTTAGATTAAGCTGTATTACTCTTATCATTTCTGATAACGTGGAAAACTGTTCTTTCACAAGATTTCACGTTATAACGCCTAGTATGAGATCAACTTGATCCAAGTACACCATATTCCAGCATCAATTGCTTTAAGTCAATAAGTTAATCTTTAATGCAATTTAACTTTTCCCATTTCCTGAACATTTTCGTATTGTTGGCTCTTGAACTTAGATTATAGTTTTTATGCCATGAGTAATAAATTCCAATGCTGATAGTCTAATGAGAGGACAAGTTGGAGAACTATGACACTCAAACAACAGTTATTATAGTTTGCAATTGTTTTGAGTTCATTCTCACCTTTTCAACCTGACTCTGATTTGGATGTATAAAGTGCCAAGAGCAGCAATAAAGAGGATGTTTTGCTGTACGTTGATCTGAAGCAAGTTCTAACTGGAAGCACAAGCAGGACAATTGATCTAAATCTCCATGGAAAATTTCGCCAATTTCTGAATTCTCAGCAATTAAAAAGTTGGCTTCCTACAGACTGACATGGAATATTCATATGAACAACACACCTTTATTTAGAAAGAGGAGTGTTGATTATTGTAGACCTCATGAGCTCCTCAGAGTTGCCAAAGAATCCAACCACCTCCAAATTCTCTGAACTATTATGCTCACTGCAAGAGGGCATGTCAAGAATTAACATCTCTTATTGAAAAATATGCCGAGTATATCTTCTTTTTTTCAAGTAAGTTTTTCATTGATAATAACAAGGCCAACTTGGCCGTATACAAGAGATATACAAAAAAAAAGGAGAGACCTACAAAATATGGTTCTCTCCAAAAGACACCTAATCCTCTATACAATCAGGAACTACATGGGTGCACTAAAAGAAAATAAGGGATTGGAGACTACTCCTCAATTGAGCAAAGCTCATCTCCACCCCTTCAAAAACTCTCCTATTTTTCTCTTTCCAAATATGACCCACATTAGAGCTAGAGGAGTAACATTGCATGCCTTGTGCCTTCTTCTCCTAGCTCCACTCTTCCAACTGAACATCAACTCCTACACGGGTATTGGCATTACCTAAGTGACACCAAACCATGTAAACATATCCTCCCATAACCTTGTGGCTAATTTGCAATATAACAGAATATGATCCATGTCCTCACCAGTTTCCTTACATAGGAAACACCAGCTCATGTAGACAGCCTTTCGCTTTCTAAGGTTATCTGTCGTCAAAATCACCCCTCTAGTAGCTAACCACGTGAAGCACACCTTCCCTGGCACCTTTGATATCCATACCGCACCATATGGAAAAATATCCTCCACCCTCACCAGAAGCTTCTCATAGATGTTGAGTACGTCTTATAAGTGGGTGTTACCAAGCAGTAGAGTTAGTTATCATCATGAAGTTCTTAATAGAATAACCAACTACTAGTTTCACCAGAAATCTCCACAGGAACATATCCCATCCCTGAAATGGTGAAATCTTTTGGCATCTCTAACTATAATTTCTCGCTCTAGGTACTTTGAAGCTAGCTTACTGAAAGTATGGCAATCACTACAGACGCGGAGATTTTTTGTGATTCGAATGGGGTTTCTATCATTACTAGCAAGTAAACTATATGCAATAGCTAGTCTTTCACTGTGTCCTTTAAGCAACTTAACTTTTTCTTTCTCCTCCACCTTGTGCAAAACATATTTGGTTTGAGCCACATAACCTGCTTCCTTCTCCAATTTCTCAGTGAGATAAGCTAATTTTTCATAAATCTTATCACACTCTGGGTGCGACTTATCTTGAGCAATAAATGTATGAACCTTATCTCCTACCTCTATCCAGCTACATGCAGGATCTTTCTTCAGCCCTTTTCCTTTCATTGTAACTCTGACGTCTTCCACATCGTCCCATCTATTAGTCGCAGCATAAGCATTAGATACAAGAACATAATTTCCTGGATTCTTGGGCTCTAGTTCAAGAAGCTTCATCGCAGCAATTTCTCCTAACTCTTTATTGGCATATACCTGACAAGCACCAAGGAGAGCACACCAGACGGCAGGTATATCCTCCAAGTTCATTGTTTTTACAATTTGGAATGCCTCTTCCAAGTGATTTGCACGTCCAAGCAAATCAACAAAACAAGCATAGTGTTCTGGCCAAGGCTCCAATGCGTACTTGCTTTGCATTATCTTGAAAATTCTTTTGCCATCTTCTATTAGCGCCACATGGCTACATGCACGAAGAACAGCCAAGAAGGTTATGTGATCTGGGTGAATATTTTCCTTCTCCATCCTAGTGAATATATCAATTGCTTTCCTACCACAACCATGTAATCCACAAGCATTTATCATGCTCGTCCAACAAACTGGATCTTTGCTCTTTAAATAATTAAACACCTTATATGAGTTCTCCAGAGTCCCACAGCTGGCATACATATCTATTAGAGAGCTTCTAATGGAATCTTGCAGAAGGAGGCCTTTTCTAACCAAAAATCCATGAATCTCTTTTCCTTTCCTTAAGGAAGATAGATCAGCAGCAGCAGTGAGCATGCTTAGGACTGCAACAAAATCTGCCTCGATTCGCATTTCATTCATACAGAGCATGAGACCAAGAGCCTCATTTGCAAGTCCATTTTGAACATAACTGCACATCATGCTTGTAAAGGACACGACATCTTTAACTTCACTCAACCTAAAAATACTATTTGCATAGTCCACGTTCCCACAATCTCCATAAACGCTCACAAGAGTTTTCTGCATAAAAGGATCATATATTCCTCTTTTAATCACATAGCAGTGGATTTCTTTTGCAAGTAAGTTGCACCTCAACTCAGTACAAGCAAGGAGGACACTTCCAATCATAAGGGCATCAACATGGCTTCCTTCTGCCTGTACCTTGTAAAATAATTGCACGGCCTTCCAGGGAAAATTATTCTGAGCATAAGCAGCAATAATTGTAGTCCAAGAGACACTATCTCTATGCAGCATCCTACCAAAGACAGAGTCCATGTAATCTAACTTACCACACTTGGCATACATATCTACAAGAGTATTGCCAACCTGCAAATCACTATCCAAACCATTTCGCAGTGAAAAGGCATGAATTTCCGTCCCATTTAACAAATTTCCCTGTCTTCCAGATGCGACAAGCATACTCATAAGTGAGACGTGGTCAGGTTTCTGACCTGCATTCTTCATCTCATGAAACAAATTAATCGCTTCATCATAAAGTCCGTTCTGCACATAACCTGATATCATGGAATTCCAAGAAATGTTGTCCTTTTCTTGCATATGGAAGAATATTTTAGCAGCTTCATCTAATCTATTGTTTTTAATGTACATCATTAACAAAGCATTCACAACATATGTATCAAAAGAATAACCCAATTTCAGAACAACAGCATGAATCTCAATCCCAAATTTTCCAAAATTTGTCTCCTCACATGCTTGAATCGCAGCAACAAACGTATACGTGGTAGGTTCAACACTGGCATTCAGCATTTCAATGAAGAGATTTAAAGCTTCCCGATTCATCCCATTTATAGTATAAGCAGAAATCATAGAATTCCATGAAACAGTGTCCTCTTTTTCACTCATTCCATTAAACAACAATGATGCTGCCCTGATATCATTGCACTTAGTATACATAGTCACCAGTGAGTTCACCACAAAAACATTAGAAATAAGACCAAGTTTTATCGCGACGCCATGTATTTCACTTCCACAGTACAAAATTTCAAGCTGACTAGTTACCTTCAATGTACTAGAAAGAGTGTGAGCATCTATCGCAACACCCAAGAAACGCATTTCCCTATACAACTCAATTGCTCTAACAGGCACCCCATTTACAACACTAGCACCAATCATAGCATTCCAAGTAAAGACAGTTCTTTCAGTCATTCTATCAAACACCTTCTGGGCATCACCAATAGACCCACACTTCCCATACATGAAAACAATCTTGGTGTTCAAGAAAACTGAATCATCACCCGATAAACCAAATTTGAGGACATGGGCATGGATTTGTTGACCTTGTAGTAAAGCTTTTTCAAATGCACAAGTCTCAATTAAATTAGAGAGGGTAAAAACTGATTCTTTGAAGTTGTCTTGCCGGCAAATTTGTTTGAGAGAAGGGATAATGGCGGGTTTTTGAGAATTGGGTGAGATTTTGAATGTTGGAACTTTCTGAGAATTCGTTGCTAAAGTAGGTGGTGATGAGGAAAACGAAGACATGTTTTGGAATATCGCATTGGCAGCCATATTGTTGCATAAGAAAATTCCAAGAATCAAAATACTCTTTAGTAGTTTGAATAATGCTACTCTTTCACTGCACGATGTTTAAGAAAAATATAAAAAATTATGTAACAATAATAACAAGTGTTGTAAAATGAATGTCCACGTAAGTTAACAGGGGCGTATCTAGAGGGGTGCCGTGGGTTCACGTGAACCCATGCTCCCCTCTCTAGATCCTATTATATGTTAAAAATATATTTAAATATAGATATGTGAACTCACGTTCAAAGTATCATATAATAATATGATCATGATGATAGGGTGCACCTCTATGAGTGAAGATAGAAATTTAAATCTTATATCTATCTTCTGCTTTTTAGTAACACCTCTCCAAGTGGTTATCGGTTACACTTTTGACGTTTCAACTAATTTTTCTTAAATCTTTCAAAAATTTCAAGTGTGTTACATTGAAAATTCTTAAAAAAACTAGCACTATAAATTTTTAAAAATAATTAAATCAAATGTGTATATTAAAATTTAAAACTAGTAGTATTATATATTTGGTATTTTGCACCTATAATTTTTAAAATTTAATGGTTCATATTAAGAACCTAAAAGTCAAACTGATCAATTATATTTAAAAGCATTTTTTCGTAATCGTGCACCCATCTTACCGAAATCTTGGATACGCCTCTGCGTAAGTATACTTTGTGTTGTAACATAAATGTACAAGCAATATATTTTGGTTCCAACATACATGTACGCACAATATGTCTTGTGTGTAAGATGGATATACAGACAACATACAATATGTTGTAATCTAATCATCCATATATTATATTTGATGGCCAATTATTTACATGACAAATAGATATTCATGTATTATACTTGCTGACCAAGTATATAAGACAAGACTAAGTGAAAAGAAAAACATTCAATAATAAAGAAAAACTACTACTACTTTGTGTCTCTCTTTCTCTCCTTTTTCTTCCTATCATTTTATAACAAATAGTATATTTTTATCCTAAACTCAGTTGGTTTGAAAGGTGGTTCTTCACTAGGATGATCCTAAAGTTCCTCCATCGAACTGGAGTACAGAATCATCCACAAAGATCTTGATCAAAGCATGCATATCTTCTCAATATCTCTTAAGTCGAGTTAGTCGCATATGGCTTGTCTAATGCGGTTTACGTTTGTAGGCTATTACACAGCACAAAGTGTTCACCACAGAGTACTCACGCGAAGGCAAAGGTTATAGCGGTTACGGGTTATCTTGGGATTTAAAAATAATAACAATAGCATATTCAGTAAAATCTAACAAGTAAAGTGTGAGGAAGGTACATAAACCTTACCCAATAGTTAAGTTGTTTTTGAAAGACCATCGACTCAAATTCGGGGGGGGGAAAAGGAAACATAAATTAGGTACATAACAAAAAGAGTAAAGGAAATTGTGCAAAGACTACCAAATAGAAGTTAAAATAACAATAAAATCAATAGTCAAAACACAATAAACAACATACTAAGATAGTTATTAAAAATAATAATGAAAATAAAAAACAAAGATGAAAATTTATGAAATTTGTATCTAAAACAATTCATATTTGAGTGACGGTAAATTATTTAACTAAAAACAAAATTATTTTTAATTTTAGTAAATGACATTTTTTTTAAAACGAAAATGGATCGAGGAAGTAGTGTTGCTAAAAGTTTAATTTAATACATTCTAATCCCTTTATTTTGGTTTGTTTTATTTGTTACGTCGCACTTTAATCCAATGTTTAGTTTGATCATCTTTCTATAATTAAAGAAAGGATTCCTATCAACACTTCCGTTATCGTCCAGCGGTTAGGATATCTGGCTTTCACCCAGGAGACCCGGGTTCGATTCCCGGTAACGGAATTTTTTATTGTGATTGGCAAAATTAAATATATTATCTTTTCTACTCTCGATCTATTTTAATTTGATTAACGTATTTTTATTTTTATCTCAATTAAATACTAAAGTCTATCCAGCGAAAGAGATTCAAACATGATCACAACATTGCCCGAAAGATAATTAGTTAACTTGATCAATAGTTTATCATAAGTCTTTGTGGAAGGATACTTATGTGTGACATTTGAAAACAACACCATTCTTGAAAATCATATACCAGAAACATGAACATCAAAAACTAGTAAAGGTATTAGTAATGAGAAATCATTATCATTTTCCATTAATTTATCAGCTTCGTATTGGACAATCTGATGCAGAAATAACTGTACAAGCATATGTAAGTTCAAAATGACTGGCATTTTAGCTACCATTGAGACATGCAGATTTGACTAAATGCTACAGACCAACCAAGAATAATAAAAGGAAAAGAGGAAAAAAACAAGCAACTCCCTTTCTAACAGGAAAACCAAGGAGCATATGACCCCAATTCAATCTTAATAAATAACCTGGGAGAATATATATTTTTTACAAAGCAAAAACAGGCCTGCAACTTCCCCTTGCAATCATTTAAATGAAGTGAAGCCAAAACGAACTGCTACATCTGCCCCTAAAGTTAGCTGGATCAAATTACAGCCAACATGATGTTCCTGGCAAAAACTTGCACATTTACAACCTCAGTATACACTGTCAATTACCGTCCTATGTACAACACCCACCAATCTCCCATCCCAATACCCAAAATCCCTCTACAATAATCGACAACAACATATGCAACCAACTTGTTCCCGAGTCCTACATCTGGAGCCACTAGGCACTTGCTCAAGAAAGATCATATGTTTCATGTCTTCCAGGAAATGCCAATACACAGATCCTTCTGTTTCCTTGGATCTGTTCCAAGTAAGCAATTTTATCAGCGGTTACTGTGCAACGTGCACACGAATTCTTGTTGCTCCCTGAGCGGATTGAAACCATTCAGGTTGTCCTTTAATTGCCCCTAAGAAGCCAAGTATATTTTTAGAATACAAAACACACATTGCTAATCCCAGAATCACCCCCGACTAATCATGCTTTTCATGCCCTCTTCAGAGAGTGTCCACGAAAGCAAATGTCCTCCAGAATCTCCACTCAACAACTGTTTCAGATCACTAGTAAGGTGGAGGGCAGTTACAGGATGCTTATGAAACTTTAGTACCTTGTGAAGGATCAACCTGTACTCTGGTACACTACCCCCGAGTCCTAACCCTCCAGTAGGACTCCCACTTGATTTGCTTTGGCCACTGTCCTCACAAGAGCAATGCACCATTCTCCAAATTTTAATGGCTCCACTCTGGTGGCCTGAAATATACCAGTTAGTTTGCAGCCAATCAGAGAATGTGCAACCAGCAAGTGAAAGGATGAAGTCCGACGGAAGCTGTGATGTGTTGATGACAGCAAGGCAATCCCCATTGATGCTCCAAACAGCAAGCATTACACCAGCAGCAGTAATAATTTCTCCAGTCAGATCATTCACATAAATTGCTGAAACAGGAGCGGGTAACTCAGGAAGCTGCCTAACAAAAACCATGGAGCTAAGGTCCCACAAGATAACAGTGCAGTCATCCGATCCACTCACAATCATCATGTACGGCTGACTAACTTGTAGGCATGTGATTTTGCCTGTATGAGCACAGAGAGTCTTCTCCAACTGCAAGCGCCTTACAGAACGGGGTGCCTCTTTACCAATCCTCCAAACACAAACCAATCCCTCGTCAGCCCCTGTAACTAGAATGTGGCCATCATGACTAGCACTGGCACACTGTATCTGGTTCCCTCCATGAAGATTCTCATGAGTGGAGAGAAGCCTATCTTGATCATAGCTAATAAATCTCAAACTGCGGTCAGGAAAACCCCAGGCAACATATTTAATGAATGTTCTAGGTTTCAGCAAGGTATTTGCCCCTGCCACTAGAATTTTGTCACCGGATGTGACAATCTGAGATATAGAAGATGAGGTTTTACGAATCTCGTGCGGAACAAGATGCTGAGAGTACTTCAAAGGGTGAGGAGGAAGCTTCCGATTAGTTCGCCTCTTGGCATGGGGTTTGAGGAATAGTTGTTTTGGCGTTTGCCCAAAGTGATTAATTTGAGCAAGAATTGAGGCTTTCATTGCTGGATCACTAACCGAGTCAATGTCAACACTGCCTTCATAAGTGTAGTGATAGAAGACATTAACTGCTTCTTCAGCTGCCTGACAACAACAAAACATTTACAGTTTATTTTTCTATTCAAGAAGAGAGAGCCATATCAGAAGGGGTAAAATAATTTTGACTCTCAAATTCAAACAAATCATGTGAGAAATGGTAAAAAGAATGCGGTAATTTATCCAGGAAAAGCAACGACTTAACGAAAGACGAATAATTGACAGTGAAAGAATTGATCAGTATTCCAGGCAATATGTTGTTTAGTGCTTGCATAAAACACAACGCCAATCAAACTTCAGATCTAACAAGTAAAACATAGAAGGAACCTATGTGGACTGTATGGGGAGAGAAATAGGAAAGTTTTTGATGGAACAGAAAATGATTTTAATCATTTGAGGAGCAACCTCTTATTCGTTAAACTCACTTTGGTGCACCTATGAGGTTCCTAAGTGTACAAAATTGGATATAGTTTGTAGAGAATCATATGTTTTTGTGAAGTTTCCTACATTTTGGGCTAACTTCTTGTATATGGGCGTTTGTTGCCCTTCATTAATAAAAATGTATTACTTGGTTGAAAAAAAACATAGAAAGAACCTCAAATTCACATTATGATGTAATCGAGATGCAATGACAGAAGAAGAGAACATCTAAACACTTACTTTCCCTCTCTGTTTGTAGCCAAAGATCAGGTCTATCCAGTGATGCAGATTCTCTGAAACATAATCAGACTCCAGGGCTTCTCTATGCTTTTTAATAAACTCTCGAACACTACCTTTAGCCCATGGAGGCAATACAACATCGCCAACCTGGTGAAGAACCATACACTATTAGGAGACTTATCTGGATTAACATGGAAGTTGTTCTATTTAGACAAGTTACTTCTCACAAAAAGAGGAATATCTAAAAAGAATACAGAGAAGCAAGACAAACCTTCTCTCCAGACTGTTTCTCACCAAGGTCAAGATCGAACATATTCTCCAGGAACTCTGGCATATAAAAGAACTCTG